TGGGATCTGTGGGACTCTTTCTTCCTCCTTGGCTGGCCGGAATGATCTAGAAATTCGCCATCAAGGAAAAAGCCAATAACACTGACAGAAGGACATGCTGTCTTATATCATATTTAAAAAAAAAAAAAGAGTTTGTCATTTATTATTTTATTTTCATTTTTTCGAAGGGAACCACGAGTCACATTCTTTGCTCTTGCCCCAGGTTATCAAAAGGTGACACATGGAGAAATGAGAAGAAATATCTGTCGTTGGTTCCAGTGGGTGATATAAATTCTTTATGAGGGCAAAAGGGCAACAGCAAAAATATCTTTCTGCACCAATCCGTTTTGAAGTTGAGCTGCTCAAGCTGTCCATAAACTAATAAAGAAAGTTTGGGTTTGATCTCAGTTTGGCAATGCTGCGCTTTCACCAAATATTTATGAAATTGTGTTTCTGTACAACCTGATTTTCAGAATTCTGTGCCGGGAAGGAAAAACTGAAAAACTTCTTGTGTGCAAGGACACATACAGCTCCATGCTTTTTCTAATCATAGCAGTTGAATGAACATATTTATTCAATATTTCTTTCAGCCTGTCTCTTTGTTACCACCACAGCAATTTGATGTTACTAGGGAGGGATTTACTGTCATTTTCTCTGGTGCTGCACAGCTCTCCCCTCAACCTTGGCACCTCTTTCTGTTGCTTGATGAATGAGTAGAATAGGAGTGGGAGGATTGCATTTCAAGCATGTTTTTGAGGTTAAAATAATACATTTTAGTCATTGAAGTTAAAGTCGATAATTAGCCTTTTAAACAAATGGCCCAGGAAATTTTAATGATTATATATATTGATAAAGAAGTTATGAAAGTCCTCTTAAATAAAACAAAAGAGAAACAGAGTGATGCCAACATGCAAGTATTTATGGAAACTTTGAATTAATACCAGCATTAGTGTAAGACACCGGTCACCAGTAATGGTGAGAATATATGATGGATCCTATACTTTAAACTGAGGATGATGGGACTTTATAATTGAATTGCTCTAAAATATTGTTAATAAAATCCCATTCTGGCAACTTTGATGCTGACCTGACTTTTGCAGCTCTACTTAATGGGTCTACTCAACATCAGCAAATGGCTAAATTATTAATGTAATTTCAACTCAGTAACGATTAAAACATTAGTTCTGTATAAAAATGTTAAAACCATTAAGCAAAGGTTAATTGTGCTGCAAGATAGATCGATTGAAATAACTTAACAGGGGACTGTGTAATATGAAATGCTGTCTATGAGGTGTATGTAAGGACACTGGTGTTAGGTGGTTCACCACAAACATCGGATGGATTCCTACATATGTATACTTGCAGCTGGATTTACTTGTGTCTCCAGTGCCCAGTTGCCTATGAACACATGTTAAACTCCTGAAAATACAACGGCCTGAATAACAGAGAATCCTCACGGGTAGTAATGACATTGTTAATCCCTTAGTTTTCATTTAGAGTAGCACCACTGTGTGCTTCACTTTTGGGATTTAAGAGACAATTTTTGATTGGAATGACATGGGATTTTGTGCTGACATTTGTGTTTCACTTTGCATCGTCAGAGCTTTATTTTGTCCAACACTTAATAACTAAGCACTGGCAAAAATATGACTTTCTGATGAGCCTCAGCTTTATGTGTTTAGTGACATTTTGTGTTTAGTGCCATTTGTTTACATGCTAAGATCATGAACATTGTAAACATACCTGCTCAACATCAGCATGATAGCTTTGTTATATTTTAGCATGCTAAGTTTAGCTTTTAACTCAGAGCATTGTGCTGCTTTGTAGCCAGAAGGGTTTTGATTATTAGTTAGTTATTGGTTTTTATGTATTTTACAATGCTTTACAACCCACAGAGCAGCTGGCTGGGATGTTCATGACAGCAAAACAGCTCAAATATATTTTTGTTTTAAGTAATATTTTTTTAAATTCTCAAGTTTATTTTAAGCTGTATTCAAATTCTAAATTCAGATATATATCCTTTATTGTCTTGTATCTACATAAATTATTTACACATCATTAAATTGCAAAGTTCTACATTTTGGTATTTTTGATTTTGAATGCTTTATTTAAACTTTGTTGCAGTTCTTTTAAACCATTTGAAATTAGTTTTTTTGGCCAAATTCTCTGTCATGAAAATATGTTTTTTCACAGTTCTTCTGGTGTGAGATGTAAAAGTTAATCTGCCTCTCTGGTAGTTTAAAATGAACATTTATACCTAAAACTACAATGAAGACACACAAACTCGTCTGTTGTTTTTAGTCTTTCATATTACAAGTCCGCTAATGAGGAATAAGAAGAACTATTGCTCATCTGTATTTTAAGTATGTGCATTTTTTGTATTTAACTTGTTTTGTGTTCTATCTTTCTTTCTTGAGATTGCTCAATTTAATTTATGCCTATCCACACTTAAAATCTACTCAGGTTTTTAGAGTCCATCTTTCTTACCAAAATCATTAATCTAAACATAATGTGTAAAAAAAGTATTGCTCTAACAACCCTAATGATACAGAGCGACTGCTTTGCTGCACCTGAATCTCTGAATATTTTATATATCCACCTACAGCAGAACATATTAAATTACTGTTCACTAGCAAATCATAATTCCTCCATATACTGTATCTGCATTGTGCTGTTCCAACCCAATAAACCCTCACAAGTGATTAGGTTTAAAAGCACGTAACGCTACACCTGAATGCCCAAAGTGATGACCTGAATTTTCACCTCTGTCACCTGGCTATTGTATTTCCACTGGCTCAGCAGAATACCAACCATTGATCATTATGTAAAATCATAGACAAGAGAAAATGGCAATTTAGCATAATATGGAAACACAGCACTCCAAACAAGGTGAAATACCTGCAGTGCTATGTATTTATTCATTGATTTTAGCTTATAATCTGCAGAGAAAAAGACTGGAAGATGGTCTGAAATACATATTAGGATGTTGGCTTTTCTAATGCATCACACACACACACGCACGTACACACGCACGCACACACACTTCAAATCCGCTCCAGAAGTAAAAAAAAAAAAAGAAAAAAAGACAAGCTTAGGTTAGCTTTTTGTAAGCACAGATTCATGTGAACGGATATTAATTTCCATTTATCCTCTTGGTTTTCTCTGGCCACTCAATACTGTAGTATATTGTGAATTGAATTCTAAAATGAAATGAGGATGGTCCAACTAATTTCCATTAAATGATAAGACATGACTTTTTCGGCATAGATTCCATGTGCATAATAACAGTATTATATTCTTGCACAATGGCTAATTTCTTATGACATCAGATGGTAGCACTCTATAAAGGTCCTCTATATTGGCTGCCTCAATAATGCAATGGAAATTGCCATGCGAGTACACAAAGTTATTAATTACAACTACTGTAAATGTCATGTCAATACATTTACCTTGATTAAAAAAAATGACCTTCATTGCTAACTTCAATTAAGTGATTGTCTCGGCAGATACATTCTCCAGGGCTTTACAAATTCATTCAGACAGGGAGAAGTATTTTAATTTAATAACTTTGGCTAAATCCAGCAATTTGTCATGATCTACAACCTCCTAACCCTCAGTCGCCCTCGGCCCATGTCTCCTGTACACTGATGTCCCCATAACTGACTGACCTAACTGTCCATGCCCTTAGTCTTTCCACACTGCTATCACTCAGCCAACTGCTCTGCCGATCCACACATCTGTTCCTGCAGAACATCAGTCCTGCAGTGGCCTGTGTTTCCGTGCCCCCAGCTATCATTGTAAGGACTGTCGCATGACCAATTCATTCCTAGCTTTAACCTTAACCTCATCATAATATACATCAGATCCCTGTAATTAACCAGGACCTCAGAAATCATGTTATGAATCATCAGGATCGGGTTTTGGTCCCATGAGGTCTACTGTTTCTGACGAGGTCAATGTTATCTGTATAATTGGAAAAGGTCCTAAATAGGAAACAAAAAACCAGCACTTGGTGTTAAACCCTCCACTCTTCAAATTACATTATCCAATGCTCACCCACACACACATCTGCCTAATTCCAATCACAAAACTGCAAGGCACACTGAAGAGATTTTGCAAAGTCACTTTCATTTAAAGCAAAACATGCAGTTTGTACCTGTGTATCAGGCCAACATTTTTATAAGAGACAAAATCTGCATCCAAGATTCAAAGCCAACTGGGCAGAGAACACCCTGCTCTTATTGTGAAACTCCAGTCAATACATGACTTGCAAACTGATGCGTTAATAGACCACCTTTTCAATAACAGAACGACTGTATAAGTAAAAATGACTGAAAAGAGAGCGGAAATCTTAACATATCATATAAAATGGCCCTTGGCACATATTTCATATTACTATTCATGGTCCTCAGATAAAGTGTTGCCCCGATGTTTCCTCTTTCCCTTTAAGTCTCAACAACTAATTAAATGTCCTGTTGCCTCCGGATGAAATATCCAAAATGGAGTGATCCTGTAACAGCAACTGAGATTTGCAAGCAAACAGATGGACCCGAATGAACACTGAGCAGACTGAGAAAGCCATTCACTGATTCTCGACTTGGGTTTGTTTTGTTAAAACTATTCCACATTTTTGTTTACAGCAGAGCATGAAACATAAAAACATGTAAAGATGGATTTAACCTTCTGATGGCAATTTTATATAACGTGAAAAATGACCTGTAGTACAAGTTCATCACAATTCTCTCAACAGTTACAAATTGCAGTGTATATCAGTGAAGACAGCACATTTGTACCACAGAGAGCCAGGTAAACACCATAAGAAATCTTACCCCACCCCACACATTCAGAGGCCAGCCCCTGAAGCCTGGCTGATCCTCGTTCAACATTATGAATTTCTAAGCGAGGCAAGTCACAGTGGCCTTCAAATCAATTCTCCTATCACACCACCTTAATCACATAATCCAGGGTCTGATGAAATGCCAGTTAGCAGCAAAAACTCCCGTAATGCCAGTCTGAATACATACATGTGACAGACGTCTGCAGGAGCGTGCACACACCTGAACACTCACAAATCTGCTGTTGGCTGGGCAGCGATATCCTCAGAGACCCGAGGGTTACAAACGTGGTAAAGGGTGAACCGCAGGATCCCGAGGGATCCCATTAAATCAACACACATACTGCATTTCTCCATTTTTCCCCCCCGAAGATCAGCACATTTAGTGCGATCACCCCAGTCAGAAGCAATCTAAAAGTGCTGCCACTCAAACAGATGGAAGCACAAGCAGGGTTTTCCTCAGGGTACAAGGTGGAGGGTTTTCGAGTCCTGCGTGTGCAGGGCTGTTGTCTGGTCTACCAGTCCATCCTCACACTCCATGGATGACTTACAAAGTGCTCTGTATCTCCCTGCTGCATGTATTGCTTTAAGGTGAGGTATTTACTACCATCTTCGCCTTAGGGGCACACTCACTGTGACTTGCTGATGGTCACCAGTTTGACAGTTGTTTCTTGTGGTTTCAGCTTTTACATTGTTTTTTTTTAGCTGGCCTGTTTCTTTTGGAAAGTTAGAAATGTTAAATGCAGTTCACAAATACAAGTGTGTTTCTTTTTGTAAACTTTTTTAATTTAGTTATTATACCATCAGACTCACAAAAGCGGATGAAAGAGGGTATGGAAAGGATGAAGACCTCATCTGCAAATACCCAAAGTCACGACTTCAACCTTTACTTGTGTCTGAAGGCAGAAAGGTAAGATGCAGTCAGAACCCTTCCCGCCCACGGACAATGTGTGTCCGATCTATGAGAAAATAAGCGTCTTCTCAAATTCATTATTTAATAGAGAGGTTATGGCCGCAGCTTCAAAGATGCTGTCTATGAGCTGGCAACAGGCTTCACTTCAAAACTCTCTAAAGGTCTTCCAACTCCTGAGGTTGTAATTTTAAAACCAGCAGACATCCAAGTCAAGGTATGCTACGCTGACCATCAGAGCAGCCTCTGGCCGGAGTGATTGAAATCTCTCCCAGAAAAGTGTAACAAAGAACACATTGTAGATTCTGTGCTACAGAAACTGTTCACAATGGAGTCGTATAAAGGTGTATATGGTTGAAATGATAGCACCATGCACAGTGGCTTTTCCAAGCACATTGATTTTAGTGCTGAATAAACATTGAGACAAAATGTTCATCACAAATAAAAAGCAGTTTTCAATATTATAGTGAACAATACAAATTAGACGTGGAACAGAAAAACTGCCATGTCCTTGAAAAATAAATGAGAAACAGAACTGATCTTCAGCACAATGATGCATTCTGCATAAAGTGGGCTCCACTGCCAGCTCAAATCCATGATGTGGTAAAAAAAATTCATGCTAAAAAATGCCTTAAAATACAGTGTAGCGAAAAACTGATAATAGAAACGATGAACTACATTTCGATTTCGGGCAAGCAGTGCTTCCTTTGTCCTCCGAGTCTTTGAGCTTAGAACTCCGTCATCTTCTTGTGTGTGTCAGCCTTCTTGTGCTCTCTCTGGATGGACAGCTCCTGGGCTTTCTGCTGGGCCAGCAGCCGGCGGGCCGCTGACAGCTTCTCCTCTAGCTGCTTCACTCTGGATGAGCCCCTTTACACACACACACACACAAACAAACAAACAACAAATATATTAGGCAGCGGAGAGAGACGTGAAGTTGCTTTCAGCTGCATTTTCGAGAGAAAGTTGGCCGCGTCTAACTTCGACTCTGCACACCTCATTTGCATTTTCACACAACTCCCACAGCCCTGATTATTAGTGAATTCAAAAACATTTTGCCACTTGAGCTGACAGGACCAACGCAGCAACTAGTGCCCTGATTTATACAGTGCATTAAAGTTTGGGTATTCAGAGCATTTATGATGATTTATGATCATACATACAGTATGTGTGCATATAGTATGTTATAGTATCTAATGCCTGTATTCTCCATGGAGGAGTTAACAGCTGCTGAACATCTGTGGAGAGACAAGGAGGTTCCGGTGCAATTAACTGATTATTAATAACATCTTAATGAATTTAAGGTCAGTTCCCAACCTTCCCAGATCTTATTAGACATGTGAAAATATTCAACAAACACAACTCAGTACTAACCAGCCTGTTTGCTTGCTCAGTGACTCGGTCAGTTTCTGGATCTCCCTCTCTGTCTGGGACACCCTCTGTGCAGCTTGGAACAGCTTCACATTCAGAATCCTCTTGGCGCTCTCCCCTCCCCTGTAAGCCTCCACCCCAGTCGCTACTGAAGGAGCAGCAGCACCCCCGTCAGCACGATTGGCGCGCTCGCCGCCTAGTTTGTGGTTGAGAAAGTCAAACACGTTGTGGCGCCCTCCTGTGGCAGCACGAGGCTTCCTGCGTCTCTTGGGCCGGCCTGTCGGCGTGCCGTCTTTTGTGGTCTTGCTCTGGGTGTGTTTCTGGGTGAGAGCAGCACACTGGTCCAGAGAGTTACCTTTGGGTAGGATCACAGCCGTGACTGGCTCCACTCGACCCTCCTGCATCTTTCCTAGGCCTGAAAAGAAAAAAGAGAAGGAGTGAGGAAGAGGAACACATGCCTAATTGAAAGTATATATTTATACAAGAAACAGACAGAGCATTGTTACCTCCACCATGGGGTTATGTTTTCACCCCTGTGTGTGTGTTGGTTGGTTGTATGTTTGTCAACAAGATTAAACAACAACAACTGATCGGATATCAACAAAACTTAGACCAGATCAAGGGGCACATTCAGGATTTGTTTCTCAACTTTCTTTAAAATTTACAGATAGGGCATTGTTTTGGCATTTTCATTGATTTCCCAGGGAATAATTCATGGATCTTGATGAAACAAATCATACATATTTAGAAAACTGAGGTTTGCGTGTGTGACATTTTCTGCAGCTTGATTGAATTGAGGGGGCTGTTGGTACTTGGGGGATGTATTCTAATTGAAAAACATGAATGGTGCTTAAAAATTGGAACCAACATTCACATCCAGTAAAAACAACTGATGGGTGCTGGATTGACAAAATATCACAGAACCTTTGAAAAAAGGAGAAACTCCACATATTTAGCTGAGCGGATTTTCTTGTTTTTTCAAACCTGAATATAAATGATACTAATTGTGACTTAATTACATACAATGTAGTTAATGTTATTCACTTGCACTTACCTTTCCCATATTCATAGCCCATTTTGAGCATAAGCTTGGATCCGATGCCTCTGGTATGTGCCTCCCAGCCACCAAACTCAGCAGTATTTAACATAACAGATTCTACTTCTGACTCCATAACTGTTGCATGAGGAAAGATAATAGAATACACAGTTACTTTATTAGGACAAAAATATATTCAAACTTTATGAAGAGCAACACATATTCAAACACACCTTTTGCATAACCCACATCATCTCCAGTGTCTTCCAGGTCAGAATCAGAAGAGAGCGGGTCGTCTTCTCTCAAAGGTGGAATAACAGAGTCAGCCTCGACCACAGCATCTTTCAGCAGCAGTGAGTCAAACTTCACAGTGTAGAAACCGTTGTCTATTTCTACATTGAGAGAAAGTATTTGAGTCAGCAAAACATAGAACCTGGAAACATTTTGTCTGCCATCGTCTTTTTTTTTTGTTACATCATGCACCTGCAATCAGCTAACTTGTGATGGCTTGATGATTTTCAGTATCTAACTATCACTGTGGAAAACCTCATCAGAACTGGCCATGTCACTGGAATACCTTTGATTTTCGCTGGGTACCAGATGCCGTCCTCTTGTCGAACCAAGCAGGACGAGCCTTCTTCAAGGTTACTAAGGTCACACTCCAAGAACTCTCTGAGCTCGGACACATACACCACTTCACCGTGAGAAAATCTTCAGGAAAAGGAAAATATCTTAGAAAATATTCTGTTTAACTGAACTGAGGTCACAGTGGATTATACAGTAAGTGAAGAAGGGACACACATGACTGAAACTCCTCTTTAAACACATCAATAGTCAAAATATGCAAAGAGAACAACGCTTCACAGCATTTTTAGACCGTTGTCTGAGGCTGTGGTCAGGAAATATCTGGATCACAATGTGGACAATGGGTGACACTTGCTGGATTATATGTGCTACTACAAAAGGTGAAGACAGCTAGAAACAGAAGTGAAACCATTGGAATGACTTGATTTCCTGCATTAACTGGTCACAAATAATGATGCTCCCTCTACTGTACTACACCTTTGAGAGGATGCATTCATGTGAATATGAATTTCACTTTTAATAATATTACAATCGCTGGGACACTTCAGGCATTTACTGGATATTTTCTTTGGAGAACATTTAGAGCAGTGGGTTCCTTCATGGTGTTCTGCAATGGACCATTATAGATGTATAGTACACTCGCGAACACAGATTTTAACCAGCTCTAATAATCATTTCAAGCCTTTAGCTGTTCACTTTGTCACATCTTTCCAGCTTTATGCAAACCAACATCCCTTTATAACCATAGGCTCATATTCAGCAGATGTGTTTAAGTAAGTTTAGGAAGCTCTTACCCAAACCTCCCATGTGTACCTCCTGACTCTAGAGAGCTTTGTTGGTGTGATTAGAGTTCACATACTTAGATAAAGATAAACATCTGACCTTATTTGAGGACAAATTTAAACGTAAATGAAGATAATTCCAAAGGGTTTGCTTAATTTTCTTACCAACATATGATAACCTTAATACAACAACCTTTTGCAGATTTAAAAAAAATGTACAAACAAGAAAACACACACAGTGGCACTTTACCTGCAATTATCCAGGAAGCGACATTTGTCCTCTAGATAGAAGGGACATGGTTTCATAGACTTCTGGGTGGGGTAGACATAGAGCACTCTAACTTGTGACTCTTCTCCATCTGGTGGTTCTGCCCCCACCACCATGGCATTGTGATACTCCAGTGTTCCCCACGATGTCCGGTAAGGTGCTCGTACTCTGGTACCACTAAGTGCATTTTCTTCTTCTTCCTCCTCCTCCTCCTCCTCCTCATCATCCTCACCATATCCTAGCCCACCACCTCCCTCCTTGTCCCTCTCTCTGGTGTCACCACCTGAAAACTCCCCCAGCTCAGAGTAAAAAGAAGCAAACTCAGAGTCAAAACTGGTGTTGGCACAGCTTGTGTCTGCTGCTGCTGCCTCTGAGGTGTGGGCCTGCAGACCATTGCTGTCCTCGAGGCTGGCCAGGAGATGGCTCTTTTTGACAGACACCAGACTGCCCTGGGTGAGATCTATCAGCTGACACAGGTCCTCTCTCAGTTTGAGCAGGTCTGACTGTTGGGAGGGGTCCAGGCCAGCAGACAGAGCCGCCTCCACCTGCTGCAGCTGGGCCCCATAGGTAGCGATGGCTGCCTCTAGGGTTTCTTCATCCATACCGACACTTGGCACCAGGCAGGGCAGGAAGGCACAGCATCAAATCTGATTGTTTTTTTTACTGACATAAAGGAAGCAGATAAACAGATGATGAACACTAGAGTTGGATTCACTGCAGCATCTGAACTGTTTTTAACTGTCGTGTTTTAGTACGAGTCAGTTGTTGCCACACGTTTTATATGAATCTTTTTCCGTTTTACTGTGATTGGAGCAACTGACTGTAAGTCATGGAGGAGTTTTTCATTTAAAGCTATTGTGTCGCGATAAGCTAATATCAATTTACGCCCAGATATGAATCGATAAGATCCACATTAGAGCTAGTGTTAGCTAAATATTAGCCCTCTTTAAGCTAACTTTTACAAGCGACAATAACAACCCCGGCGTTACCTTCTAGTTGACGCCGACTGCCTGACATCCACTGCACCGACCAGACAGTCACATCCAGCCGATGGGTTATAATGATGAGTTTAGCAAACAGACACAGACTGTGGAGCTGCAAAGGCACAAATACCGGTTAGCATCAAGCTAGCGGAAGCGACTGCAGAGTGGACTTCTGTTGTTGATGGTCTTCTTCTTCAACATAAAACAAACATTCGCAGACTGGTAAGTGTTCGAGTGGTTTTGACCTCTAACTAATGTCAGTAGAAAGTTAATATTACATGAGAATAAGGTTTGTTAGTGTGAAACTAGTTCATAAAGTTGTGCATTGTTTAGACTATCGACATTCATTTGTGGACTGATTTAAACAAAGAAAAAAATATTTTTCTACTATAACAGAATTTAAACGATGGGTAGTGAAGTAATACAGTATTCATAACCTTTAACGCAAATACTCAGAGTTCAATTGTGTTTTGCTGAAATTAAAGTTTAAACGATGAAAATACAAGTTTTCATACATTAATGCAGATTTTTCTGCTTCACTCTAAAACTCATTGCTTTTATTTTGAAGAATAATCGTCAAAATAAGGAAGCGTGTCGCTTTTCAGGCACTACGTCAAAGATGTGCGACGCAGCCTCATGACGTTAGCTTTGCCTGGAGTTCATCAACTTTATCATTGGGTGGTTTCTGAACTATTGCTATAAAATAGACAATCTATGTCTTGGGCGTATTGTTGTACGCAGTGGGTCGCAGTATAGCAGGAATGTGAAGGTAGGTCCCTGTTTGTTTACGCTAGTAGCGCAGTGCAGGTGTTGCACTGCTACTCCACAGACTTGTTATTGTACATTTGTGTCATTGTGGACAATTGATCGATGGTAAACTGGTCAAGTGAGCAGATGTTCGTCTTTTCCTGATTTCAGGTGCACCCGTATTACAGAATGTATGGCATGATACGGAGCGAGCCAATCTTTTACTCTTTTAATGCCTTTTTCAACTAAAATAATGAACTTTGAGGCTGGATTGAACAGTAAATATGCTTGATACTGAGTGAGTGAACAGTCAGGATGCTCCTGAGATCAAGTGTATCAACCTTCGTCAGAAATTATGGATCAAAGGGATTTTACAGTGGCGTAATAGGTTTGCTCTTTATATACAGTCTATGGTTTGCTCGCTCCATATCATGGACTACATGCATTTGCCATACATTCTGTAATACGGGCGCACTTGAAATCAGGAAAAGACGAACGTCTGCTCACTTGACCGCAGTGATGATAACGAGGCTTAATACTGATTGGTACAACACATCTTAATCCAGATCTCAGTGCAGAGTTCAGGCAGCAATAAAAGATGTTGGCGACACAGACAATAATCATTTGTTATGGGCTCCATCCATCGCCTTTATCACCCATTTGGGGGGTAATAGCAATATTTAGAGAAAATTGCTTTATTTTCTCCACCGCGCATTGGCTTCTATCTATCTGAACCTTCTTGTCCCCCTGACTTGTTCATTTGAGAACACAAGTAAGTTTTTAGTTTTCTTGCCAAGTGTGTGCAAAGTATGCACATTTTAAATTTGGATAAGGCTACATGGCAGGCGACCATTACAGATTTAATCCAAAATGGCAAGTGTTTTACCTCCTGGGAAACATTATTTTCTGGTTACAGTGATGAATAGACTTTGTTTGATTTTTGTTTCTCTGTCCACACTCCCTCACTTAAGTGCCCCCCGCTGTGATGCCTCCAACCATGGCTCAGATCAGTGATCCAAAGATCGCCTTTGCCTACCTGCGCCCGGCCTGTGTCCTGCTGACCCGGGAGCCCTCTGTGGCCAATGTGGAGACAGTGAGCGGTCAGTTAAAAGACATCAACGATGCCACATTGCAGCAGCTCCAAGAGTATGTCCTCTTCCCTCTTCGCTTTGTCCTCAAAGTACCCGGACCGAAGAAGGACAAACTGGTGCAGGCTGTGGCTGAAGCCATGAGCCATATCCTGGAGAACACTTGCGTCCAGAGCTGGGAAACCCTCCACAACCTCTTCTCTGAGCTCTGCCTGTGCCTCTGCTCTCCAACCGATCCTGGGAAACCTGCTGACACGTCAGAGGAGCTGAAATTGGCCGTGCTGAGGTGCTTGGACGCCCTCCTTCATGCTGCCTATGGTGATATAGTTTTCAAACTCTTTGAACCAATCATGTTGCCTGGACTGGGAGCAGCCATATCACTGCTACTGGCTTTAGGTGAAAAGGAGAAGTCCCGGGAAGTACAGGCAGCAGCGCTTAAGTGCCTCCAAGCTTTGATTCTGCAGTGTGACTGTACTCAGGTGCACGTAGTCCCCTCCTTAGAAGAGCGACGTGCTATCGGCAGCACCATGGCTTCATTCTTACCTGGGCTCACCACGGCTATAGCTAGGATCATAACCGGAGATCTGAGACAAGGCCACGCAGTCACAGTCAAGGCAATGAAGGTACGATATTTTTACATTAAATTCAATTCAATTTGATTTTATTTGGATAGTGCCAAATCACAACATGCATTATTTGAAGGCACTTCACATGGTAAGGTCAAGACCTTAAAAGTTTGCTTATAATGTAATGCAGTGATTTGCTCATGCCACATCCTCCTCTCTTTTTCTCATTCAGGTTTTGTCCAGTGCTGTGGGGCTTGTGATGGAAGACGTCCAGCTTCAGGCCAGTGAGCCCTGCAAGACTCTCTCACCAAACCTGGGTAAAATCACACAGCTGGTGGTCCAGCGAAAGCAAGACTGGTTGAAGAGCACGGCAGGGAAGCTTTCTGTGCTGATGAAGAAGATCATCTCCTGCACCTCAGCTCACCGGCACTGGAGGGTTCGCCTGGAGATGGTGGAGCTGGCTGACCACCTGCTGGCCAGGTGTAGTCGGTCACTTGGAGAGTGTATGGGGCTGCTGCTGGAAGCACTGGTGGGAGCAGTCAATGACGAGGAGCCCAGAGTCAGAGAGAGGTTTGTTTTGATTGACATATTTGTGAGGATATAAAACAGAACCTAAACTAATTTATATTAAGATTTTATTTAATCTCCTCTTCTCCACTAGGTGTGAAGTTGCTCTGAGAGAGGTATCCCAGAGGAATCAGAGCAGCAATGGGGATATTCCCGGTGAACGCAGCAGCATTCAGACCTTCACTGACGTGCTTTCAGAGAATCTCCACTCGCTGGCCACCTCCCTGCCCAGACTGATGAGGACCTCTGACGACCAGAAGAAACTGTTTGTCCTCAATGTGTTTCTGGGTTACTTAAAAGTCCTGGGACCACTCATCTCTGTGGTGCTGAACTCGGCTGCACATCTGGAGAGGATTTCCAAAGCCTTGATGCAGGTAATGTCTGCAGCTGTGTATCAGAATACACTTGATAAAAAGGATTATCAAATGAAGTCCGTTTTTATACAACGATAGATCTAGAGGTTTTACATGTAATAATTCTCTCTAGTTAATACTTGTGTGATATTATAGGGACTGTGTGTCTGTGTGTCCTGTCCACAGGGGTACACACTCTGATGTGATTTTTTATTTTCAGCCATTACTCCCAGTATACTATAATATTATGGCCATTTATATCAATTACTTATTATAAAATTATCATGGAATTCAATTTTTATGAATTTTATATTTAAGCATTTTGATATTTGTCAATTTAATATAAGACCCTTTTGGTGTCTGACTTTACTCTCTGACCTGGTCATCATATAGCAGCAGTCGACAGAAATAACAATTCATCTCCCATCACACACCCCTGTGTGCCTTAACAGGTGCTGGAGCTGGATGTGATGGATGTTTGCATCGTGGAGGAAAGAAGTCACAGCTCCACCATAGAAACAACTTCTACCTCCTCTGATTGCTGCAGTGCTCACACACAGAGGAAGCATTTCCTCTACTTCACCGATGAGAAGATCCTGTCTGTGCTCATGGAGATCTGTCGGACATTAGGTACAAGTACTGCTCAGCATGAACATTAGGGGTAGGCTGTATAAAAACTGTATATTCTAATCCTCATGCATACCATAACAGTATTTTATATCTGAGCCAAATGTAAAAATATAAAAGGAATATAACTTAGATTAAAGGTGATATCATATATGAATGCTTATGGATTAAAACCGGCTTCTTTTTGTGCATTTATATTATTATATACATATATATATATTTATAATTTTTAATGCTCTCCTGCCAGACTTATATCAACCAACACTCTCTCTCTTTCTATCTTTAGGTTACTATGGCAACATTTACCTGCTAACTGATCACTTTCTAGATCTGTACCGCCAGTCGTTGGCATACAGAAAGCAGGCCGCCATAGTCCTGAATGAGATTGTCAGGGGTGCCGCAGGCATCGGCGTGATGACAGAGAGTCATGGTTCGGAGGGTGAAGGTCACGGACACTCTACCAACAAGGATGACCTGAAAGCAGCAGTGATGTCTGTCATGGAAGAATACACCAGTCTGAACAACTGGCACTTGATCACTGTCAGCGAGGAGACAAATAAAGACCGACAGGACCAACAGGTGGGATTCAGTTGTAAAGATTTACCTCTGTTACGGCTTATTTCAACCACTTAATAACAGTTAAAGGAATAATTTGAAATTTTGGGAAACAAGTGCAGTGCCTGTTCTAAACCTCCCTGGTTGGAATGGGCTTTTGGTTGGCCTATGGAAATACTGGTTGCACATTTCTTTCTGAAACTGTAAAAGTGACCTGCAGTAATTGAGGTGCGGCAAGTAAAAACCTGCTGCTGGACTCAGTCCACAGAACCCTTTAGCTGCAACACCACTGCTGCACAAAGAGCTTTTCATCTGTTTATTCAAAGTTCAGTAGAGTTCGACTTAGTTAACAGAACCCAGAACTGAAGAATCAGTTGTTGTGGTCATTGTCGTAAATGCGCAGTGATCGGTAACTTACATTGAAGCGTCCCAGCTACCACTGCTACAGAGCACTGTTTGCCAAGTTTACTAATATTGACTGCATCACGTGTCTAAATCACACCGAATTCAATACTTACCTCCTTGCACCCTTCACAGTACACATGCCAAATGTGAAGTTATCCAGATATGTGTTCCACATGCAGAGAGACTTCTAAAATTTCAGGAATAATTAAACAGATTTTAATCTCTTGCCGGGGATGAAAAGCTGCATT